TCAATATGCAAACCAGTTGGAATTTCGGCGAAAATTCTCAGACTTTGGTGGCGTTTTTCAAACCGGCCGCTGAAAAACCCAAGCAAATTTTTACATCTCTTGAGAGAGAAGTATTTCAACACTTTACAGCCATAAAATGAGCTTGATTCGAGCTCGGCCACATAAAGAAAAGTCTTTTTGAAATTACAGACTTAAACTTGCTTTACAACGGCCACTGTCAAATATATGTTTTTCGTAGTGACAGCTACCATCTGGAAGCGAAAAACAGACAAATATAAAGTGCCAAAAACTTCTAATTCCCGAAGATATAATTTTAACTGTTAACGCAAGGACGTTTTTGCAATGCTTTTTTTTTTTTTTTTTTGCCAATAGGCCATTTTACAGTTGTGTGCTCAGTTATCTGGCCTTTGAATGCAAGCGAGGCTCGAGGTGACCTTGCTTTGATACAGATCAGACTTCTCTGCTCTGCTTTTCTCATTCAAATGCCAACTAGTTAGCATGAGAACAAGTTGATTTACACAACAAAAATGGTGAGGTCTGTATCAAAACAAGGTCACCTTCATCCTTGCTACCATTCAGAGGCCAGGTCACTGAGCAAACAACTGTAAAATGGTCTATTTATTCGGCCATAACATGGCTAGAGAGAGCGCGCAATCTATTTTCCCAAATATTCCTGAAAGTAGGCCGTATTTAGAAAAATGAACCCCAAAATCTTTGAAAACTCATAAATACCTCGCAACTCGAAACAAAGGTAAGTTAAATTTAAACCCTGGCCACGCTTTGCTCGATTTTTCTATGCATTTGCTCTTAAACTCCTGTAGCTAGCAGATATCAAATCTTAATTCCCAACAAAAAAGCGATACAAAATTAAATATGTCGGTCAGTCAAAACGAGTAAATGATCACCAAACGAAAAATTTTATGTAACAGATACAACTTCTCTCCATTGCTACGATAACAGCGCTTTATAAAGGTTGAAACGTTGACCCTCCTACCCACTGCTTTTTCTACCAATTATAGTTAAGAGAGTTTCTTGAATTTGTGTGATGCAGATCATGGAAATTGCAAAACACTCGGCGGCAAAATCCACTTCCATCAGAGCGACGAACAGCAGAAGTTTGGCGACTGCCTCAAGTTTTGAATGGCAATTTACCGAACTAATTTTCCTTCGACTGTTCAATTCAATTTTGAATGTTACATATCTTAGGGTTTAAAGACTTGAAATTTCCCGTTATGATTTAAGGTAGATAGATACTTTATTTAACTACGAGCAACTGGAGTTTGTTAGGCCTCTACCTTAAACAGTTGATCAGTTTACTTATAAAAACTCTAAAATCTAACTACAAAAATATTTTAAAAAATTAAAGTTAATGTATAAGATACTAAAACATTGGATCACTTAGAGATACAGTTTGGTCAATCCAGTGCATTCATTATCTTACTTAGCTTGGTTCAATCCGAGTAATAAAATCATTTTCATAAAATTTACAAACGAAGTTGAACAGGTAACTTGCGCGTCCTTACAACTGGTTTTAAGTCCCTTAAAATTTCTCGCTCGTTTGGTTTTTCTAATTAGTGATTTGAACGCAAACTGCAACTTGAATCGACTGGAAAACTGAAAGTAAAAATCTGCTAGTAAAAGCGTTGTGCGATCTGTTTATATTCCGTACTTGGCGCATCTTGAATGACTTGTAGTCATGACATGACCGCATGACCAAAAACGCCATCATCAACATGAACAAAATAACAGGTTAAGGGCCAAAGGTTGTAAATCATCCTTTAGGAATGACCCGCTACATCGAGAGGATTTGGAATGTATCCTCTTTGGGCAAGCAAACGTCCATTTTTGTATCAAGTTAACTTTTCGTTTCTCCTGCTTGAAGTTTGCTTTCAGCCCCTTTCAGTTACATCGAAAATAATCCCATTCCAATTCGTATATTTCGAACCTGTGCAAGTGCTAAACTACTCAGAGATCATTTGAAGGGTTTCTTTTAAACAGCCGCGGCAATATTCAAACCCTACACAACACACTCTGCTGGCGATATATAGATCGTTTACACTGTCAGGCAATAAAAAATAAATCGAAATACATCCACGTTTTAGGCCTGTGCGTTTCCCCAAACTTCAGACATTCGTCGGGATGTTTCGCGGAAATTTACAGAGCTCAATATGAAAACGCCACGTTGGTGTACATCCGTGGTAAACCAGTATGGTGACCGGAAAATGGTGTAAACATGTGGAACTTCCTTTAACTATTTAGGCGACTGATTATCAGTACTGAACAAATAAGCGTTTGCATAAGCACTTTTCCTGATGCTCTTCCTAATGATGAAGATAAAAGATTTGGTGGCTCTTTAGTTTTGGATTTTAGAAAGTGACGACGTCACGTGAAAACAATCTATATTTACGAGTGACACTATCTTACGCAGCTTTTCTTTCCATGAATTTTCTAAAGCAACCATCGACCCCATAGAAAGTACAGCATATAATTCAGCACGCGAAACTACCAACGGTAGCACCACAACGAACAAGTTCAGATGTCATTGTTTCGTACCGGACTTTTGATTGGCTGGATTTTAAAACGTTGGAATCTATTGTTTCAGTTCTACCATCTGATTGGTTTTCATTGTCTGGGTAGCCCCCGTTTTAGTAAACGCACTGTAAGTAAGGTGCACATTTCGTGACGTGGTGGATAGCTTTTAATTGATGGCAAATATCAACAATAGGCATAACCAAATACACATTATTCTAACATGGATAGTGAAAGCAACCAACAAAGTTCACAAAAGGTATAAAATGTTTGTTTGGGGACTTCAATATTGTTTCTGTGCTGGCGTACTGTTTGTATAGAACTTTACGATTTTTGGTTTTTTGAACATCCGCTTAAACCCAAAAGCCATTTCTCTGTCTGAACGTAACTCAAAATCAACAAGAAATATTTATAGCTAAGCATTTTGCTATCGATATTGAGTAAAAATTGGGCGAAAAGAAGCATTTGAGAAACTTCTTTCAAACATAATTTATGGTTACCAAGATTTCTTTATATGTCGCGCGATGGCTCCAGTTTCTCGAGACTCACATTGTCAAGTTTCATAGGACTAAAATAATTACATTCGCCTTCAAACTTCATGCTAAACATTTTCACTTTTAATGCAAAGCTATTAAATAACTTTAAGAATAACCTCTTTTGTATACAGTATCCTAAGCTGGAAGCACCAATATTAGCTAACATTTGTAATCGCGTGCTCATTTATCGTAAACAAACACCGTGCCATGTGGACTGAGTCGAATATTTCCGCTGATGAATAAAAATAGACAGCATTTACATTGCCGTTCCTTGGTTCACAGTTTTAGCTCGGCTTAGAGTACAGTTCCATCGTTTGGAAACAATTTTCGACCTTGGCTGGATACAGACTGAACTATTTGTTGCCACTCGAAAATGCAATTCAACTTCAAACTTGCTTATTTCTACGACATTAATTTACAATATTTTTCTAACGATCTCCAACACCATCTGATATCTTTATATCTCACCTCCACCATCTTACTCGATGGTGCAGCACTCACTTCCAATATGGAACCTCTAGTGCAATATATGTACTTGACGCATCTTGAATGACTTGTGGTCAGGAGATGATCGCATGACCATAGACGCCACGATCAACATCAACAAAATAACAGCTTCAAGGAGGAAGGTCGTAAATCATACTTTAGGAATGGCCCACTATCATTGAAAGAATTTGAAGTGTATCCTCTATGGGCAGGAACTTGCTCAAAGGGTTAATTGCATAACATACGCCCTTTGAAAAAAGTACCAGGTTTAATTTCTCGTTCAGGTTTCGCAGATTGTACGCGCTCTAGTTACTTCTGAATATAGTTCTTCCCACTCATTTCTGTTTTGAAACACTTCTTATTTACCTATACATTAAATTCTTCTTAAATTCGGTACTACGAAGTTTTCACAGGGACTCACAGGCTTGTTGTCAAAAGTTAAACTGAGCGAGTCAAGAGATTTTGATCTCCTCCGGCATATCCTAATAATAAATGACTCTGTTATCACGAATTAAGTACCAAACGGGAAAAAATAGGATCAACTCGGCATCTAGAGTTTCGTTTCAGTAAATCTAGGATCCTGTGACAAGGAAAATTGATGTCCCTTTCTCTTATTTTCCAATGTTTTAATTTATGACGGGGAGCACAAAGAAAAGTTTGAATTAAGTTTAAATTACTCCGTTTGACGATGTGTGGAGCTTCCTTGAGAGAATGTTGCTCATTTTTCCGGCGCTGGTTCCACTCTGACGTAAACAGTAATACTTTGTTTCACAGTGCTTTCCATCGGTTTACACCTCTGTAGCTAGCAGAGACCAAATGTCCCTTTCCCAGAAAAGAGCAATAGAAAATTGAAAGTGTCAGTCAGACTATATGAGTGGATGATCACCAGAGGAAAAATGATGTTAACAGCGAAAACATTTCTCCCAATTGCTACGATAACAGGGCGGATCTTTAGAGAGGGTGAAACATTTGCGCTCCTAAACACTGCTTTTTCTACCAGGGAAGCAAATCATAGCGATGGGGTTTTCGCCAAACACTCTGCGACAAAATTCACTTGCACAAGAGCAAAGAATATAGAAGTTTGGCGACAACTGCAAGTTACAATTGGCAATTGATCGAACCCATTCTCTTTCAACAGGCAAATCAATTTTTAATATGACATAGTTACGAAATTAAAGACGTAGAATTTGCTGTGTCGATCCCAGGTGGATAAACATGTAGAAAGAGACTTTATTTAATGAATTTACATCGTTAATGACACTGACTGATCAAATCAGTACTAACTTTAAATTTAATACGTAAAATAACAAAACATTGGATCACGTAGACACAGTTTGTTCAATGCGACATATTCATTATCATACTTGCATTGGTTCAATCCGAATTCTAAAATTATTCTGATAAAATTTGCAAGGGGAGTTTAACAAGTAACTTGCAAGTACTTACAATCGGTTCTAAATCCCAAGTTGTCTCGCTCGTTTGGTTTTGCTAATCAGTGTTGTGAACGCAAGTTGCACCTTGAATCGACTGGAAACGTAAAAGTAAAAATCTGCTAATAAAGCGTTATATACTATACCTATATCCTTACTTGACGCATCTTGAATGATTTGTAGTCACAAGATGAGCGAATGACTACTAAACGGCACGCAATGCAAGATAAGATAAGATAAGATAAGAACCTTGATTTAAGTGTCAAAGTATTAAGCCCTAGCGGACTAATTGGGGACACAATACCAGCTTTCTGAAAGAGCATGAAGAATGTATACATTTCATAATAGCATATTTAGTATAGTTCCAAATCCTTAAATTGCGCAAAATGTCATATAGTTTGCCCTTCCAATATATTAACTTAATATAGACCGTTCTACATTTTCATTCCCTTTATTTCCACTTATTGTGTTTCTAACATATTGTCATTGTTACACAACAAATTTTTTTTATCGCAGACAGCAGGTCCACATCAACCTCTGGCTGCCTTTAATTTAACCTACCATGACAAATAAAGTATATATGTCTGCAGTATGTATGTATATATGTATAAACAAGAGCTTTGAGTACTATGCATGCGGAGGCGATGATGTTTAACTACCATTTCTTAAGTTCTGGCTAGAAAAACTGATAAACAAGTAAACAAACGGACATTTGAACGTAAATAAACGTAACAGATGGTATAACCTGTGTGGAGTGAAGAAAATTGAAGGGAATGACACGATGAAAAAAGAATGCACATCAGCGGGAGTGACTGGAGGAAGCGAAATCCTTTCTGTTGTTCCAGTTACGTTGACGTCGGTTGTGATTCAATGTAATAAACTCAAAATTCTTAAATAGCACAAAAAGAAGTAGTTTGTTCTCCCCACTTTATAGTTATTAGCTACTTAGCCATGTCTGCATCTTTAAGCTTAAAGGATCCAGTCACTGCAGTTTGAAGTCACAACCCTTATGGTAAATAACACATAATTCACTAACAGCTTAAAGAAACATCAATAATTTGATGTTCCTGGTTAACTGGCGAATCATTTCCTGTATGCTTGTTTTTGGTCATATTTGTAAGATTAGGACGAAAGCACTGCATTCTGTTATTGACAGCAGAGCATATTGGAACGCCAGGGTTATTCTTACTATTGAAGCTATTTCTGAGATAAATTATTGCAATGCCATTGCTCCAGCACTTAAATCTAGACTGTTTGTCTATCAGTAAATATCCCTAATTACATTGTATAGCCAGTAAATATCCCTAAATCACATTGTATATTCCGACGTTAGTGAAGTTGCTTGCGCCTCTTATATTTATGTTGAGATCGAGGGGTTTCCTGTTGTCCACAAGACTTTTGATGATCTTGCAATGAAGCAAAGCTCCACTTGGATGGAATTAAAGTCTGTTAGTTTTGCGTTAAAAAATTTTGCCTTCATTTTGCATAATTCCTCTGTTAAGCTTTTTACTAATAATAAAGCCGTAGCGTTTATTACAGATTCTGAGAGAATGCTATTGCTGAAGTTGTTTTATGTTTTACTTCTGCTCATGAGAGTTAGATTGTCAGTGGAGTGGATTCCCCTTACGATTAATCAGAAAGCTGATTATCACAGTAAGATCGTTGATTATGAGGACTGGTATGTTTCGTGTGCGGTGTAAAGAAGAAGAAAAGAAATTGACAACTCTTTGCCTAATGGCTTCGCTTTATTTTAGTTGCTCAAATTAAAACAAAATTAACTCGTTATGCGCCTTATGTGTACAATAAAATTGCCATCTAATCACTTAGTTCAAACACAGTTGTACTCTATGTGCTCTATGGTGTACAATGATATTGTCATTTAATCACTGTTGAATTTTAGAGCCTTACACATTTCCTATCTCCGTTTTTCCTTTCCCTCCAGACGTAAAGCAATATCTCGAATACTAAACGTTACTAGAATTACGTTATTAGAATTACGTTACTAGAAACCTGGAAAGCGAAGAAATAAACAAATTAAATCGTTTCAGAAAAATCTGCGTAAACCTTTTAACGGCAGTCTTGTCAGGACTTATATTTTCAGACATAGAGAGTGTAAACATTGCAGCAGACCCATCCTCCATTGTCGCTTTCAGTGTGACCCACCAAATCCTCACCATACCACAGTCGCAACTCTTGGCCCGAGCTCACCGAGTAAGAAGAGAAACGCGGCAGGATAATCTCAGGAGAAAGCGAGTTATGTCCGGGTAACTCGGACCACTTTCCAGCACCCCCAGCGTACGTGAAAAACGGGTTTGGTGGCATAAGGAGGACATTGCTTGACGTTGTTATGGCAAGACTGACGTGATTTTTTACTGCAGGATTGTTTCCACAGCCCCAGAATGACCAGTAGGAAATGAAGCCAGTCTGGCACATAACGTAACCGCTAAGGTGGATCAGTTTAACTGCGGCTATCTTGCCACCGTAAGGGACGTTGAAACTGCCATACCGGTTATCCCTCGCGCCGAAACATACGGGATGATGATTTACTTTGACCCAGTGGTCTGAGAAGATGACAAATGCATGAGTCGATGAATTAATCAACGTAACACCGACCTTGTCTTATTTAATATTATTTAATCTTAGATGTGGCTTGTGTTTGTAGCCGATATATCACACGCTCGGATTGGTTTATTTTAGGGCATTATACTCCCGTAATGCTCACGGGCCGATTACGGGCATGCAAAAACAAAGAAAAAAGTCAGGTAATAAACAACTTATAAACCTCGAAGGTTCGGTCCTGACGGAAGTCTCTCAAATCTCACCCTTGCTATCGCTAAGTCAATACGGCGAGGTCTCTGTTTGAGATCTTACTCTCGGTTAATAAGTACATGTAGTTAGTATTCTTTCCGTTACACTGACTCTTTGCAGAAGTTGCAATTCCGTTTTCTTTTTTTTCACTCTTCCAGGGATCCCCGCCACCAAAAACACTATGTCGACTGAATGAAACTGATACAGAGTTTTCTTAAAAACAAACAAACAAACAAACAAACAAACAAACAAACAAAACAAAACAAGACAAAAACAACACATTCTTACCCAATGCTGAAACGGAAGGGAGTACCAAGAGCATCATTGTCACAAACATCAATTTTTGGTCCATGATTTGTCTCGTGGTAAGAGAATCTGCGCATTAAATAACCATAGCAATATAGCACAATGTTTTCGAAAACGCAAAAAGAGGGCTTCTTGAATGGACAATTCATTATCAAACAACTAGATTATGAGCTTGACCGAGTAATCTATGCGATTTTGAACCATTTCTTTATGCAGTAAATAACTCCGTGCTTTACAAAAGCTGTGAATGACTATTTAAAATTTGCACTTGTTTGCGGCATCATTTGTTTTAACGAATGAATATGTTTCTTTTCGTCTTCTCAGGAATTTTTATAACTATCCACTTGTTTTATTTTTAAATGTTCCTCCGAAACATGTGAAAAACAGCAAAACGTCGCCAGTCTGCTCACCAATGGCTGATAGTGTACAATAGATCCAACAGTTTGACTGCGACTTGAGAAGTAGCGAAACCAAGTTTTAAACCAATGCCTGAGATCTAAAATCTGCCAGATTTACTGATAACTGGCTGTAGTTTTAAATGATAGCTCAGTCAAAATTGCAGAAACTTTAGCCGATAAATGAGATTAGAAGATTAAAAGATTTACCTCACCCCCCACCCCACCGAGTACATCACAGCACTTGGCTTTAGAAACATTTGAGGGGTTCAGAACCATATCGGGCTAACCCACCAAAATTTCATATTCGATGTTATTGTTGTTTCCAATCTAAATTTGGACCATCTTTTTAGTGGGAAAGTGGTCTGACCCTGAAAGGAAATGGGAGATTCTTTGGTACCCCCTGAACATTGGACCACAGTGACTTTCGTCACAGCTCTTTGTGGAACAATGGGCTAACCCTTATACTGCTGACCATTTGCCCGTTGGCTCACAGTTAGGCAGTACCATGTGCTATCAACAAAATGGCGGACAGAGGTGAGCAATTATCGAGCGGCAATTTCCATAAGAGAAAACGAAATCCTGAAGAGTAGAAGAAAAACAAACGGAAACGTCTTCCTAACAGAGGTAAGGAATATGAAACAGTATCAAAGTCAGGCGTGAAACGTACATTTGCAGCAAAACAACTGGGTAAAGACTGTCGCTGCCCGCTGAAGTGCTTTGAAAGAGTAACACAAGAACGGCGTGAAAATGTTTTCGAAGGTTTTTGGGAGCTTGGAGATTGGACTGCACAGAATGCCTTCTTATGTGGAAGTGTGAAAGTCACGTCTGTAAAGCGAAGGTATGGAAAGAAACGCGAGACTTCTTTGCACTCGCGAAGAAATTATTCTCGTCAATATTACATAAACGACAACGGAATGTCTACTCGGGTATGCAAAAAGGCTTTCTTGGCCATTTATGCTATATCTAATGACAGGCTTTCTCGTGCTCTATCGAAAATGCAAAGTGTGGGATCTCCACAAACAGATCAAAGGGGTAGACATGAGCCTAAAAACAAAACCCCTGAAGAGGATGTTCAGTTTGTGCAAGCTCACATTCAAAGCTTCCCAACTGAGTCAAGTCATTATTGTCGTAAAGAAGAAACTGTATGAATTGGCTTTGACAGAACTGCGTCCACTATTGTTATTATTTGTTTCACTAAGTCTTAAAGTGAACACTATAATACTGGTAAAGATAACTCATATCATGATGTAAATGATATTCCTATAAAGAATAAACATGTTTTCACAAGAAAAACCTTCTCAATATTTTTTTTTTTTCAAAACTTAAATTAACAGAGCTTTTTCTGTAAATTAAATTAAAGTGGTTTAGCCCGCTATGGCTCTGAACCCCTCATTTAACCTTCTACTTAAAAAGCCAAAAAACAAAGAACCGGTATAACCAATTATAATTTTGTTCAAGGTATCGAAAAATCCTGCATCTAAGCTCATCCCTGATTACAAGTGAAAGTATTACCCCAAATGCACTATAACTGCGGTCGTTCCAAAGAGTTTTCAAGGTGGTTATGTTTAGGAGTCTCAGTCACTTACCTTTAAATTAACAGGGATAATAAGCGACAAAAAGCTAAAACCTAAAACTAAAGAAAAGTTAAGAATACAAATAATTACAAAAAAAACGAAGAAACAATCAAATTAAAGCCACACACGAACTCCCTTAACAATACTTACTCCTTTCTGTGAGCTCCTCTTTGAATAGTGATCAGTACTTTTCAGTGAAAGGGTTTTATGAGGTACAGTCTTTAAGTAATTTGTGGATTTGCTCAATTAAGCGAAGTCAAACATTTGCAGCCTTTTTAATTTGTCTGTCGTCCTTTGCTTTCAAAGCGTAGTCCATTAGTGTTTGTGAAGTATCATCTGAAGAAATAGAACCTAAATGTTCTTTAGTAGAATGGAGTTTATAAATAATTTATGGTTTGCTCAGTTTAGTGAAGTCAAATATTTTAAGCTCTTTTGATTTGTTTGTCATGGTTTGTTTTGAAGGGGTAGTCTAATGGTATTAGCGAGATATCATCTGAAAAAATAAAACCGACAGCATTTTTAACCTACAGTGATACCACATTTGTCTCTACTCTTGGCTAATTGAAAGACAACAGAGTTATTGAAATGTCTCACCATTTAGAAACAGTTCTAATTTTACGAAAACGTGGAAGATAATGTGGTTTAGAAAAGAATAAAAATAATTTGCACTTTTGAACCATAACTATAAACAAAGCGTATTGCTCATAGCCAATAGCATTAACAGCCAGAACTTATTTACCTGCAGGTGAATATACACGTTTATCAGGCTAAATTAGACCTGTGTATAATTGCTTTTAAATACTTAACTAGAACTTAGGATATTATGAAAATAAAGCCTAAAAAAATTCAGGCTTGAACGGAATTCAAACCCATGGCCTCTGCTATACCGAAGTAAATAACCGCGACTGTCATTCATGCCTTCACATCGCTCTCCGCAGTTCAAATTTAAGATCTTCCATATATTATTCACTGAAAATTTAAAACTTAGCTCGGATAACTTTAAAATATCTATACTCTCGTGAAAAAGTCACGAGGGAAATGATATGTATGCTTGGCTTTCGCCCAGCAGCCTGAGTCGCACCATTATGGGTGCTTCAATTAGCTGTCATCGTGTATTTGATTATCAACTTAGCACAAATAGACTCTAAGTGGCTCTTTTAATGAATTTTTTAAAAACGAAACAGCTGCGATCTATATTGTTTATTTTTCAGACCATAATCATAACTGTTTCTACTTGGTTTTGGCCACCACCTGCGAAATTTGATCTGCCGTGCCCAGTTAAAGTTTTAGGAGACTAATGTGTTGGCAAATAAGTATTAATAGGTCCTTTATCGTCTATTTACCATGCTTTTCTGAATTTTGTTCAAATTTGTTGAGGAGAAGTGACTTATACCATATTGTCTGATATAATAATTGATTTAATTGGCCGTTCTATAGCTAACTTTTTTTTTCTACAACATAAATTGTTCAACAGGTATAACCAGAAATCAATTTACCAACGCATTGAAATAAATGTGCAGAATATATTTTCTTGACGTCCGAGTATGAAATTTAGTCAATTTATTTAATTTGGCTGCCTAAAATATGGCCGAGCTAAATTTCATAGAGACGTGAGGGAAATTTTTAAGCTTTGATATTTTTGAGAAATTTATATCACTTGATGGGGCATCTTGGTACTCAGGAAGGTAGCACGGTCCAACTAAATCCTTGAATATTTGTGATTGATTAAAATTTTTGTTCAGCTATCACATGAAACTGCGAAGCAAGTCAAGACATTAAAAAAAACCTCTCGTTTGCGCTAATCAGCAAATCTGAAATATTTCCCAGAAGGAGTAACTGTTGTAATGTATTTTTCTCCAGCCCATCGTATCATACTACGAGTAGCAAAATTAAGAAGACTACACATGCCTTAGATTTTATTGCTCAATTGGAAGCAAATAACCCTGGAAGCAAATAACGAAAAAACAAAATTCAAAAGTTTGCCTTTCAATTTAGCTTGCAAATGGAATCTGGCCAGGGCTTCTCACAGGCAGAGGGCGTAAACCTCGCTGCAGACTCTTCCATCGTTATCGGCTTCGTAGAAGTCCACCAAATCCTCACCATACCACACGCGGAACTCTTGGCCCGAGTTCACTGAATAAGCAGTGAAAAACGGCAGGACAATCTCTGGAGACAGTGAGTTAAATCCGGGAAGTTCTGCCCACTTTCCATCGCCATGTGTGAAGACTTGACTCAGGGGCAAAATGGCGTGATTGCTTGATGTTGTTATGACGACATTGACATGATTTTTCAATACGTTATGGTTGCCACAGCCCCAGAATGACCAGTGAGTAATGTAGCCAGTCTGGTAGGACACGTAGCCGCTCAGGTGGTGCAATGTTAGGACAGCAATCTTTCCACCGTAAGGGACGTTGAAACTACCATACTGGTTATTCTTTGTCCCAAAACATACTGAATCCAGTTTGACCCATCGATCTATTAATAGAAGTGAACGGAGAACAGCAACAACAACCACCATTTTATTTTGCATAATACAGAGAATATCATACAGCAAAAGAATACATTAATAATAAATAAAGAGAATAAATAAAGGAGGGAGGGATGGAGAAAAAGCAATGAATGAAGCAAGCAAGTAAGCAACAACCAAGGAAAGACTGCCGAGATGGATGACTGAGTGAATGCACAAGAGCATAAATGAATCAATGAAGGAAGAAAGGAATTAATTATTTAATTAAAAAGTTTAAAACTGTTCGAGAAACAAAATCAGCTCAGCTTTCGCAGTCTTCATTTTCTAATCGATTGAATCGCTGAAGAAGTTGCACTGTACCTTTTTTCCTTTAAGCCCCCATTAATTGCCTTCCGAAGTTGTTGTTGTTTTTTTTCTTGAAGGAATTGAGCTAACTCAGACTTTTACAAAATGTCTAGCAATTCTTACATAGCGATTTAGCAGTAGAAGGGACTGCCAACAGCATAATAACCCTCAAGGATCAACTTAAAATCCATAATTCTTCGCTAGGTACGAAATTCTGGAGAGGAAAAACAATATGAAAAACAAATGTAGTGCAACTGAGACGTTAGAAAACACGAAAATAGGGACGTCCTCAAAATACTAAAACGTGTAGAATTCTCTAAAAATGACAAAAAACGGAGTATACTGAGCTTAATCGCAAAGTCCTTGTTCTGTAGAAATTGCTCATTAATACTGAATATTGGTATTAATGACATTATACTTCGAATCATCATTGTTGAATTGAATAGTCGGGTCTGGTAAACTCTTCAAAACATGTGGATAAGATTTAATTTGTAGTTTTTATTAAAACGTGCACTTGGCAAGAGCCAGTACCAACTCTATCCTCGATAATTATAAGCCAAGAGCATTCATAAAAATAGTTCCACTTGAAATGCCATGATTTTTAATTCCTCACCGCGGACTTATGCAAAAAGCTCTTACTATTTTTACCTATTTCCAGTTCCTGTCAGCATCAGCTATTCCATGCAACGAGCCCTATTTTGGTTTCTTCGACGATCTTTCACTTAGAACTTTGAACAAGCTTAGCCTCTGTACTTTGAGATTACTGACTTACCATAGACTCTTGTTAAACTCTGGACCTGGGCTGGCGAAACAGCTGTAACGAAAAACCACAGCGTAAGTTAAAGCGTAAAATTAAAGAGGATATCAACAGATTGGATATTGGATCAAAATATGTGAAGATGAATTAAAAAAATCAAACTAAAGCCTACCAACTTTCTTCATGGTCTTAAAAGATAAATAATCTATTTCCCTAAACAGCGCTAGATTTTCTTCATGGTCTTAAATGATAAATAACCTATTTCCCTAAACAGCGCTACATATTTTATTCATCAGAAGGTTTTATTTTTTTATTTTTTTATTTTTTTTGGACGTGAGGCTGTCCAGTGTATTCGTTTTTGAAAAAAGGTAATAAACTGCAGAAATAAAAATATCCATGCATAAGTCTAAAGACTACTGATAATGGATTTCTTCTGGTACTCTAATTGTATAAGCGTTAGATTCGGGAATAACAGATTCGTCATCATTAAATTGTGGGAAATGCAGGTTTAATTAATGATCGCAAAATAGGTATATATGTTTAATAAAAAGAGGTTTGCCTTTTAGGGAAACAAACCTATGTTCGTAAAAACCTGGGCGTTGATCGAACTAGCAGAACTTCAAAGTTCTTTGATTTAACTTTGATAAAATCACCTTTTTAATGCAACTAAAGATTAAATATGAAAACAGGCTGTGTTAACTTAACTCCTCTCAACACTGTCTTTTTACTCTTCAACTGAGCCAAAATTAAATTTCCAATTTGCTCGCTTCTTTATCTGGATTTTCAACGGAAGGATATTTTTTCGCAGAGGAAGCTTTTTTAACAAGCTGACTCGTCCAACTAACACACTTGATTTTAACCAAGTGACTTTGGTTTTAATGATTCGCTGAATGCCATTAATTTATCGTCCACCATGTCATCTTGCAAGTTGAGCCTCGATGTTGTGCATGAATCCAGCTGCAAGTTGTCTCACGCCATTCTATTTTTTGTTTGTGAATGCACATGTCAATCAACACGTTCACAGAATGCAAATATCGCCACACAAAATATCAAAAATATAATACCAGCTTCAAATTTAGTCATTTCTCCTTTAATATTATCAAGACTGAATAGTGTATTTTCCGTTAGCTTTTGAATGTAGTTACGTACATGCAAGCGATTCAAGCGCTGTCCTGATATGGTGCTTCTAACAACTGCTCAGTATAGATACTAAAAACAACGTACAGTTTTTCTGTTTAAAAATAAAAAAGGTGATCTCAGTTCCTGTTTTGGTCTCCACTCCCAGTCAACAACCTGAACCGATCATTGGAAAAGGTTTATGTGAATTTCGTTTGCATACTAGCTAGGTAACTAGCTTCATCAAGAATGTTTGAAGCTCAATTAACGCAAAAAAAAGCAAATCGCTCTCTGTATGAATTAGATCAAGCAGCTGAGTTCTTCTTTCTCTACTTTGTCTATTTTCACTCAATACCTTTTTCACTTGGATTTAGGTGTGAAACCTTCGTCATCTAATCAGGTATTTTTTGTGTTTCGTATAGTATTCTTGCTTGTCACATTGACCAAATAAATCCCGACTGGTACTCTATAGCCATCTTCGTGTAAAGTTGCTTTTCCGAAACTGTTAACGAGTAACAAGAAGCTGATAACTTTCCTTAATTAATATTATGACACTTCCTAAGAATTTTAACAGCACAAGATGAACCAAGCACTCTGTTTTCCGAGCAGCCTTGTTTATTTTATCTACCAGAATTTTGACCGTCATTGGCTCATTTGTTTGCGATAAGTGTGTTTGTTCGTCATATCAGCAACGCGTTTTTCCTCTCGATTTTGTACTGCCTTTCTTTACTAATTGTGTAGAATATAACATTTTCGTCATGTGCATCAAGAAGGTTGTCCACTGAAGTCTGGTTACATGAAATGTTTTCTTAGTACCCATGATAAGTTTTCTATCCTTGTGCTAAAGCCTTAAATCGGCAAATAGCATTGTAAGATAACAAGAACTACATTTTACTTATAACGAAAATAAATATATCTATATTGTTTATGATCACAACAAGACTTGGCCTCGGAAGGTCTTTGGCAGGCCTCCCCACTTACCAAAAAGGAAACAGGAAGAGTTTCTCGCCTTAAAATGCTAAATTGCTTACGGGAATATAATTCTAATAGTCCGTTGACAATCGGCTGAAATTGTGCTTTTGACCCNCCCCCCCATTTTATAGCGGAGCTCCGTCAGCCCAAAAGGTCGCGAAGCGGAGTCCCATAGTCATAGAAACCCATGAATCGCTTTTCGTATGGTAAAAATGGATAGCGGTATTGCTCGTGGGCGCGTACACACGACGATGGCGGCGACGACGTCGCAAAACATGGCGGCCGTACTCCAGCTAATAGGACATGCAGCCTTAGTTAACAGTGTACATCTTTGATATTGGACATCCATTTTATGGTCAATTGACACCTGTCAAAACAAGGTATCCGCTGACAAGTATCGTCCAGGAGCTCTACTTTTAGACTTGGCTAAATCTATATATATTAGCCATTTGCACTAACTAAAATGAATCCCATATTTATCCCTTATTCATGATTCAGCACCAGTAAAGCGCAATTAAATCCTGTAATTTATTAAATGATATGATTCTATTTAGAAACCAAACTCGCGAAAAAAATGACAACAGGATGATTAATGCTCCAAGTTTGTTTTTATTTCTGCCAATTAAAAACTCCCCTGTCATGTGAGTATTGCCATACAATCAATGAGGACAACAATTGACCCAAACAAACTACAATGAAATTCAATTTTTTTTCTATCCACTTAAGCTAGGTATAGCAACAAATTTAAAAACCGAGCGTTATTACAGTTCATTTATCCGTATACATAGCTATAACGTGAACAACAATGACATTAAAGGGTAGTCTGGTTAGTGCTTCTCAGACATAAAGAACGAAGACATCGGTGCAGACGCGTCCACCATTATCGCTCTCTGTGTAATTCACCAAATCCTCAGCGTACCACAGGCGTAACTCTGTCTTCTCCGACATCTCATAAGGATGGTTGAAAACCGACAGGACAACCTCAGGGGAAAACGAATTGTATCCGGGAATTTTAGACCACTTTCCGGCTCTGTTCCCGATGAACTGGTTCGGCGGCAGAATCATGTGATTATCTGACGTTGTTATGACAACATTGACGAGATCTTTCACGCGATGGCCACATCCCCAGAAAGACCAGTTGTCAGCGTTGTGTTTGTGACAGGACACGTAGCCGTACAGATGAACCAGTTTCACGGCGGCTACTTTACCACTCAATGGAATGTGAAACGCGCCATATTGGGTATTTCGCGTACCAAAGCACACCGGTGAACCATTGGCCTTTTCCCAGAAGGCTAAGGTGTCTGTAATATAGAGTCGCTTTGTTACATTAAGATACTAACTATATATAAGTATAATTACCAAATGTTTTGCTCGGCAAAAAGGAGAGCAGAAACATGAACACTACTATCATTTGTCCTTCAATTCTGGTTATCACAGAATTGTTAAAGGTCTGGATAGCAGGAAGATAACAATCAATTTCAAATGAATGACGACAATTTGAAAATTTACGGACTTGTTTCGGCAGAAACATCTGCCTTCAACGGTGTGTTACAATATGTGCATAGAGCATAGAAAATGGAAAATGCTAATGAGTACAATAACGGGAAGAAGAGAAAAAAATGCAATTAATTAAGGAACGCGTGAGAATTACTACAGAATTGTTAAAATTTCGAAAACAAACTGTCTTGTGAGCATCCACTGGCACTTGTTAAACATCGTTTCACTTGTCTACGAATGATTATGAAGGCGCTGAATAAAAGACAAACTGTTAGGACGACCCTGATCAGGGAAAATAAAGTATGAAAGATATCTGAAGCCACAGAAATCGTGAGCAGTCAATCGATTCACCGAATAGAGAAACACTAGTGACCCTATTAAAAAAACTACCGATAAGATATACCTACCACATGTTTAGAGCACATGAAATGATTAAAAATACTGTCCGCGTTAAGAAATATCTACTACCTGCTTGTGTTTGCGAGTACGTCAGGAAAATCAGAAGAACACACAAAGTAGCCTTCAGTTCCATTTTGGAGATGATCTGAAATTATTTCAAAAAAAAAAAAAAAAAGTGCAGAAAATCGCATCATCATTGGCACCGAGGTTGAGATTACTTTGTGGGAGATCTTAGGCAACTTTGTAACAACTTTTCATGTTTGGTATTTGACTCGTCCGTTGGGGTGTTGGAGATGGAGTCAGTTGTGCAAAAACGTTCGTTTCCTGAATCCAGTCCAACTGCGGATCCAGCGTACGGTTTCAATAAACATCTGTGTCATAAGACAGCCTATCGTGAACATTTGAGAAAACCTGCTTTTATCCTTCTCATCTGCAAAACTCTCAGAATTCAGAACTTTGAAAAGGACCTGGTGAGTATGTCTTAATTGAATATTTTCGCCTTTGCGGAAAAATGTTGAACCAATAAAGAATAAAAAGTGCAGAATTGCAGTGACATGCGTATTCACGATAAAAATTTATTTCATAGCTCCTCGAAGATCAAATAAGTAGAGCCGTCAAGCTTTACATTAGTGATAAGTATGATTGTTCGTGAGTAAAAGCGTTCTCTCTATTCTCTCCCACTATAAAAAAAATGTGCAATAAAATTCATTCAAGCATGCTTACTACAATTCGATAACAAAAATATGGGGGTCACCGGACTCGTTGTTTTAGTTAGAAGCACATGAAGCTAAAATTAAGGGTTTTTAACGGGTTACGCTGTTGCCATGGCAACATTGTCAGCAGCTTAATTGGCCATAACCTGTTTGTAAATATTAGTGATTTATTTACCTTTATTATTGCATCAACTGAAAACCGGTATTAATCGATTGATTAAAGAATTAGTACTGAAAAATGCTGGAAAAGGTTGCGAGCCACCTTAAAATATCCTTGATTAGTGTGGGACATTTCATGAACCTCCGAAGAACTGGGTAATCTGTTTATTCCGTAGAAAAGCTTCATATTTTAAATTATCAATTCCTGTGTCTTTCCGCATCATTTACAGCAGTCTAACATTTGTTTCCACGTTGCATTTGTTAACCCAGAACGTTGAGCACATGACTTGTTGATTAAGTATCAAAAACACTTACCTTTAGGAAGCTCAACAGAACTTAGCACCTGTATTGAAAAAAGAGAAAAAAGCTTAATATAGAACAAATTAAAAGAAAAGGCGAATTAGGAACAGAATCAAAAAGGAGAAAGAAAAAAACAAAAACAACAACAAAAGCCAGGAAAAGCAAAAACAAAACAAAAAGTGCGAGAGAGGTTTCCGAGTACTTACTCAGTCTCGCTGTTGAAACCTGACTGAGCCCCGTGTTGAGGAGCGATCAGTGTTAAACGCTAGATTGATTTGTTTACATGTGGTCTTGTCCAATGGAATTAAGTCATCAATTTTTCATTAAATTTGTTTGTTAAGTTTGTATATTTTCTCAGCTTAGGTCACTTGTCCATAATTGATTGTTTCCGAGTTTTATTCCTCCGGAATACACAAAATCTTTTCCAATAACCAGTGATACTAGATTAGTCATTGTTGAAAACAAACAAGATGAGTTTTGTTTGGCAAGGTTGTAAACAAATAATTTCGTTTTCTAATTTTTCCTTAGGCTTAAGGTTGACTGATATCGGAATTTATTGTAATTTCATTTTCTAGATTTTTAGTTTTCTGCGTTTACAGTTTTATACGATCAATTATTGTACATTTTTACTTTTAAGTTTTAGACAATACTAGGGCCGTGGTTCACCAGTCACTAGCTGATTAGCTAAGCGTCAACTCCACATTAAATAAAGTATCGTATCGTTTCCCAAATTGCAAAACATAGCTATAGAGAAAACTAAAAAAAAAATCTTTATCCTTTAGGGAAATTTAGCTGTGTATTAAATAAAACTGCAACTTTAAACTAAAAGGAAGTCGAACAGATTAGATGTTGCGTTAAAAGACGCGAAGAATTAAAAAAGGAAATCTGATCAACTTACTTCCTGCTCTTTAAAGGTAAATAAGCGTTTTCCCTCATCAGGGGACGATGTTATGTTCCCGACAACGATGTTTTATCGACGTGGATTTTTCCAATGGAAAGGAGTCAAACATCTGTCTTATAATTTGTTTGTGAATAATATCCATAGGTCTAAAAGTACTCATACTGGATTTTCACTTGTCACTCTAATCATGAGAAGAGTGAGATTTCACACCAACAGATAATTAATTTTTTCATTATACAATTGGGGTCAATACAGATTTAATTATAATTAGAAAACGGTATATAGTTGTATGAAGTAAAGAAGGGGCTTGCCCCTCCGGGAAACGAAGCTATGTTCATAATTACACGATATCTTCTTATTAAAAGTAGATTAAACATGAAAGCAGGCTGTGTTAACTTAACTTTTCTCAACACCTCTTCAAATCAAAATTAAAAATGTGTCCAATTTGCTTGCTTGATCGCTTCTTTTAAAACTCTGAAATCTCGATTGCCGACTAAAGGATACTATTTTTCAGAGGAAACTGTTTTAACCAGACATGTCCAACCAACACTTGCACTAGCCTGTCAATTTAATCCATTTTCGCACAGTTGGCAGTGTCTTTGGTTTTAATGATTCAATAAATGCTATTAATTTGTCGTCCAGGATGTCATCTTCCAAGGTTTGATGTTTTGTTGGAATTCAGCTGCACGTTGTCTAAAGCCTTTCCCTTGTTTGTGAATGTAGATCAACACGTCTACCAATTGCAAATTCCACCATAGAATATAACAAAAAGCTACCAAAAGCTAAAATACTTCAATTCCATTTTGAAATATAAGATTTAAATTAGTTAAGTCATTTCTACTTTAATAGTACTATAGTTTGCATGAGCTAAGTTGTTGCTGCTGGGAAGACTGAGTAATGTAAGCTGTTCTTAGCTTTCCGGATTTAGCCATGTGCTACTGAGGAAGCACTCAGTTCAACCGTTGATCATGAGTCCTGGTTTTGTGTCTATAACTCGTCTCCACTGTGTTAGGACGCAGAGCTGAGTAAATACCAAAAACAAAATATTGTATTTCTTATTTCAAAATAAATTCCAACTTAACCTAGCTCATGTAACTTAAGATGTTCTTTCTTGCTTTAGATCTGTTCCTTGTCTTATTTCGATTTTGCTAGTTTGTCACATTGAACAAATAAAGGCTAATTGGTGATTTATCTTCTGTTTGAACATGCTTTTCTAAAACTATTAAAGATCGAGGAACAGCCAATATCTTCCATTAATTGTGAAACTTTTTTATTATTATTATAGAAGTTGAACAAAGCACTCTTTTTACCAAGTAACTTTGGTTATATGAAGGCATCAATGATCATGGTATAATAACTGCGATGATCCTTGATGTCTAGATATCTTTCTCCGCAGTTCAAGTATAAGATCTTTCATGTGACTTGCAAACTTGGTTACGCTATCTATCAGGAGTCTGGACGTCATTGGTTCATTTGATAAAAACCCTAACTCTAAAAACCTAACCCTGAAAAAATGCTTGTAAGCATAAACTTAAAACTTTAAACTTAAAAGTCCTGTGCGATGAGTGTGTTTGTACGTCATTTCAGCAACGCGATTTTCCCCTCGTTTTTTTTTATTGCCTTTCTTTACTAACTGTGCAAAATATAACAATTCTTCATGTTGGAATATAACGTTTTAACGTCTAGCGACATTCGATGTGCTAATAACCATGAGAAGCTTCTTATCCTTGTCATAAATGCTATGAATCAGCAAATACCACATTTCACCCTTAACGAAAATATGTCCATAATTTTATGATATACAAAACGAAGTCTTCGCTGTGAAAAGTTCCTTGGTAGGGCCAGTTGCAACGCTTTTGCACGTAATGTCTCGTCGATGTCGCTGTGCTGACATATAAATATTTTACTATTATATAGAGACGTGTGTTTTACTGGAAAATACATCACTCGAGAAATTCATACGAAACCACATCCGGGACTCGAGTGGCGTATTTTTCATATCGTCACTAGTAAGGATATTGACTTCATTTCCCACTTTATCATCCAGGGCCGAGTTGTTCGAAAGCCAGTTAACGCTAAACCACGATTAAAACGTCCTAATCGACGGAATAAATTTGTCCTTCGATTAAATTCTGTTCCACGCAGCTCGATTAGCAGTATCCAAGAATTAAACTAAGGGTTGAATTTAACACACCTAGCGAGGTGGATTAACTCGCTAATCAGATGAAAAAGCAGACAAACAGTTAAGCAATAGAACACTTTTTCCGTGTTTACATAGCCTCATCTAAACACGAGGAGGTTTCAGAGACAGCTATGTAAACCCGAGACGTAGTCGAGGGTTTGCATAACTTTCGAGAATTCTCCCAACCCCCGAGTGTTTAGATGAGGCTATGTAAACCCGGAAAAAGTGCTCTATAGCTTTTATAAAATAATTCTCAAAACAACGCAGGAAATCTAAAACGTGACAACCGTGTTTACATACTCTCATCTAAACACGCGTATCGACCAATGAGAGAGTGCGTAGTGGCTCAGTTATTTTATAAATCAGAATGGCGGACTTACAGTTTGTTGATTTTGCTTTAATGCCGGGCCCGGTGAGAGAAGAAGAGCAATTTGGGCTACCTGACGACTTTTTCCCGCGGTTTTTCACAAGACGGACGCGGACGGATCACTGTTCGGCGATCCGCAACTTTTTTACACAACGGGGGCGAAGCAAGAAATTTCAACATTTCCGCTCTCAGAGGTAGAAATCGTCGCTTACTAGCCCCTGTAATGTAAAAGGAAAGATCAGTGGTGGAATTAAAGACTTTTTTGGCTTGATAAAGGCGAGGATTTTATGGGCAAAATATTGTGAAAGTTTCGTTTACTGTTGACCGTGCTTGTTCTTCAAAAAGTTGCTTATCTCATTCGGCAGAATTAAGATAAGCTTAATCAATCTCCGTTCGTTAGTTTATTGCTTTCCTCTTTTCAAGTATTTTCTCCTAGCCAAACTACTTTATTAGCCCACACGAATAGAGGCTATTCTAAATTTCTAAATTACAAAGAAGTATATAAGGCTGAAAGTTAGACTGGTAAGCGTTTTTAAGAGCTCACTGATTTTCCGGCTGATGCATGATTCAGTGAGCTCATCTTGCACGGATTTTTTACCACAACTCTAAATTTAATTTAAGCATTTTTATTGGTTCTTATAAAAAACAAATCTAGTTCGTTCTTCTTAGTCGTTCTTTTTCCTTTTATTCAACAACAAGAATTTTGTGGTTGCAGTCATAATTATCCCCTCCCTCCCTTAGTGCTACAAAATTTTCTCCCACCACAAACCGGTTTTACAGGCTCAATCCGAGTTTAATCAAAGGATAGCTAATCAAAGATTATATCTGTTTTCAGGAACACTATTTTACACCCCGATTAATTATCCCGGGAATAAGAAATTTAATTGCGGAATGACCGCTAACCTCGAGTTATTTTAATCGTCTTTCGAACAACAGGGGCCAGGTTTCTGCGAACAGACAGCTTGTCGATACACTATTTAACAATTAGATTACTCGCTCTCGATTTCTATGAGGTGATAGTTGATGAGGCCGAAGGCCGAATCAACTATCACCTCATAGAAATCGAGAGCGAATAATCTAATTGTTTTAGTAGAATTCTTACTAAAATTTACTTCAAATAACGGTTCAATGGCTCAGCCAATCAGATTACAGCATTTGCATTAGTGTACTAGTAGAATTCTACTAAAAATAATTATAACATAACTAAAGCACAACGTGCACCTTGATTGGTTAATTCATCGTCTACTATTTGCCCATGGGTCTACACTGCTAACGTGTGTGCTATTGTGATGTAGCTCAATCAAAGGACTTCTTTCGCTCCAATGTGTCAATGTTATGTTATGAAACAAAAGGTAAACGCCAGAGCTGTACACGATTGAGTTATGGATGCACTTGGGAGGTTTGCTAAGCACTCAAGAAGCTAGAGTCGCTATTGCCTCGTGCGTTTCTTGCTGTTATTTGGTGCTTGGCATCCACCCGCGCGCATCCATAACTCAATAGTGTGCGCTATGGCGTTTACCATTTGTTAAAACTGCACGGTAGCCCGACAATATGAATTTTATTATCGTGTGCTAAACCAATATTTTACACACTTTTGCTGCACTCGCTCGTAGAATATTGTTTTTACCACTCGGAAAAAAGAAATTCATACCTTCGTGCCGCCGTGGGATATCCTATATCTTTTTGTCAGCTGGCTGCTTGATTACTAATTGCTGTTTTGACGAGAAATTTTTAATGCTTTAAATCACTTTTGGGAATTTACAAAGGTTCGTATCGAGCAGTTATCATAGGACTTCTGTTGTTAGTAAGCGAACAAATCTTATGAAGTACAGTTCTAATAAAATCACATTCTTTTTTCTAAAAGTTATTTGATTCCCTCATTTTTTATTCCTGTAATTTTCCACGAACTAAAATGAATCCGGTATTTATCCCTTATTCATGTATATATGAAGATAATATATGGGGATGATATACAGGCAACGAACTCTTAACATTGGCTGATTTCATGATACTTTTCTTCACTCACAAGCTCAATGACGACAACAACAAACAACACTTGTAATTTATGTTCTAAGTTTACTTTTGTTTATGCGAGTTACTCTTTTGTGATCTGAGTTTTGCCATACAATCAATGAATGCAGCAATTAACCCAAACAAACTACAATGAAATTCAGATTTTCCCTAGATATAGATTTTAGCTAGATTTTCTCTAGGTATAGATTTTAGCTAGGTATAGCAACAAATTTAAAAACCGAGCGTTGTTACATTTCATTCATCCCTTAAGTAGCTTTAACGAGAATAACAATGAATAACGGTGTCAGAAATTCTGCCTTTAGATTAAAAGGGACGTATGGTTAGGGATTCTCAAACATAAAGAACGTAGACATCAGTGCAGACGCGTCCATCATTGTCGCCCTCGGTGTGACTCACCAAATCCTCACCGTACCACAGGCGTAACTGGGTCTGCGCTGACAGGGAAAGGGGACTGGAGAAGAACGACAGGACAATCTCAGGTGAAAACGAGTTATATCCGGGAAGTTTAGACCACCTTCCGGCTCTGTTCCCGATGAACTGATTGGCGGGCAAGATCATCTGATTATTTGACCGTGTTACCACGACGTCAACGAGATCTTTCGCGCCGTGACCACAGCCCCAGAAAGACCAGTTGTCTGCGTTGTATTTGTGACAGGTCACGTAACCATACAGATGAACCAGTTTCACGGCGGCTACTTTACCACACAGTGGAGTGTTAAACGTGCCATACTGGTTATTTCTGGCGCTAAAACACACCGGCAAACCATTTGCCTTTATCCATAACGCTAAGGAGTAATGTAAAGTCATACTGTTGATATTAACTATATATAAAGTATTTTTGCTCGGAGAAAGGAGAACGCAATCATGAACATTATCACTTGATCTTCCAATTCAGGTCATTATAGGATTATCTCTACATTTTTTTTTTGCGACTTGGTTTTACTGAAAAATGTATGGAAAAAAGAACACCTTGATTGTTACTTTTCTAGCGAAGCGATTTCCCTCAGATTTGATCTGTAAATTCTTTAATTTAATAACGTTAGTTTTTAATTCATAAATACTTCAGAACTCCAATTTTCCATGAGTTGTTAAACATTCTCCATTTTCCCAACACATTTACTGTAATTTTGCGGAGCAAGTAAAACAACTACTAATAATATAAATGTTCAGAGTACATGAGATGATTGAAAGTACTGTCTGTAGCTAGAAAAATAACTAACCTGCTTGCGTTTGTGAGTAGGTCAGGAAAATCAGCAGAAAGCACAAGGTAACCCTCACTTCCATTTTGCGTTTGATCTACAATTAATAAAACAATTTACGGTGAAGATCACATTACCACTGAGTTTGTAATTCACTTCTTTGTGGAAGATATTTTAGAAAATTTTGTAACAAATTTCAATGGGTGATATTTGACTCCTGGGGTGTTTGAGATCGGAGTCACGTTTTCAAAACCTTTGTTTCCCGAATCCAGTCCTGCTCCGGATCCAGCGCACGGTTTCACAGCTTAAAGGGAAATTTAATGAATATTTGAGATGTTTGCAACTTTTCTTTTCAATGAAGGCATATCAAGAAAAGTTATGTCATGAAGAATAGCTGCTTTTATTCGGCTCTCCTGAAAAACTCCTAGAATTCAGAAACTTGGAAAGGATAGGTGTTTAAATTGAATATTTTCATCGGAAAGGTTTCGAAACAATAAAGAGTTGAACGTGCAGAATTGAAGTAACACGGGTATTCGGAATAAGAATTATTCGGAATTAGTTCATTAATTAGCTTCTCAAAGATCAAGTAAGTGGAGCCGTCAAGCTTCAAGGTCATGATAAGTGTGATTCCTCTCGAGTAAAAGCGTTTTCTCTATCCTCTCTCACATTTTTTGGAACTTTGAGAGAAATTGCATTTTAGTATGCTGACTACAATTCGAGACTAAAAAATGAGGATCAAACGACTCGTTTTAAAATTGGAAAATATTATTTTCCAAGTTGTAGTGGTGAAGCGATTTCACTCCATCACTCCTTCACTCCTTCATTTCCTGTTAGACATTTGAAACACGGGGGGTACTCCCATATGAAAGGTCAGGGATGCTTGTCGGAAAAACTGAATTTAACTCCTAAAGGAGACTAATATGGGAGTCGCTCGAGCATTATTAGACCCCTAAAAGATACCACTTAAAACGGAATAGGTTCGATTACTAGCCAGCGTTCAAGAAAGGATCCCCCGCCCACTTGCAGACCCGACTCGCGTACTCGAGAGATCAGCGGAAATCAAGCCTAAAAACACAAATTAAATGAGAGCGTTTCTTTTAACTATTATCTCTTCGAGTGCGCCCTAAAGGATGCTTTGACAGCTAAAAATGGTGACCTTTCGTCGTCAACACCCTAAGTGAGACCAGAATCCTTGATTTGTACCCGAGCTCCGACCTTTTCATATAAGTGTTCCACCACGGGTATCAAACATCCGCCGTTTAAGGCCGTTTTACAGTCGCTTGCACCGTATCAAGCTAGTTATTCTTTAAATTTCTGACTCAAGTACTCAATGTCTTACCGCAGAAATGCTCTACATTGAGTAAATTTTCGCACAATCGTTTTTGTAAATAGCAGCTGCCTGTGATTATATAAATAGTTCATTTCCCGATGGTGCCCTCTCATACAAGTTTAACCATGCTCGATTGCCGAAAAAGGAGACATTGAAACAAAATTGACGAGCTGTATGAATTTTCCAATGAGTCAAGCCGTGATTAAGTGTTTTAGACGATCAACGGTCAAGAGAATTGAGGACAATGCGCACGACGTGTTCCGCTGTTTATTTACATGATATTGTAAATAGATACCCATAAACTCGGACATGGCGAAATGAGGAACAAATAGTTGAATAGAAGAAAAGACATTACACAAGGCAGGGAGTTTTGCAGTCTTTAATATCGCCTTGGAAAGGGAAGGGAAAAAAAAAGAAGAAAAAAAGAAGTTACTGCAACACGGGGTATTCGTATTCGGTCATCCATCCAAGTACGAACCCCACCGAACAGGGCTTAACTTTCTTGAGCGGACGAGACGTGGTGTTGTCTTTGTGATAAAGTGACTCTACGCTGAACGCATTTTTGTTTTGTTTTTTTTAATTTCTAATATGAGAAAAGGTAACAAAGAGAGAGAAAAAAAATCCCTGACACTGGCTGGAAGAATAAAGAGCGAAAAAAAATGAGAGGAATGAAAATAAGAATTGTTACTTGCTTTGGTGATTGGACAAGAAGCGGTACTTTCTTTATAATTGCCTCGGTCTCTCGGACGAGGATAACTCGGTCTCTCGGACCGATAACTTCATGAATGTTTTCAACAGCGTGACATCTCCTGGTGTATTCTCTTGCCGTTGCGTTTTGCACTATTTCTTAACAATGCCAGTGGGCTTTAACTTTAACTTAACCTACAGATTAAAATCTCAAGTCAGTGGCATCAAAATTGTTACTGTTTACAGACGATCCATTTTCCAAGTTGAGGGGCTCATAGCCACTTTGATTCTATTGTGGTGTCAATTTCTCGAGCGGGCGTCAACTGAAAATCAGAATTAATTGATTTTTCGAAGAAGTAGCACTGAAAAAATACTGGAGTCGGTTGTGAGCCACCCCAAGTATATATCCTTGATTAGTCAGGGACATTTCTGAATCTCTGCACACCTAAGGAATCAGTTAATTTGTTTCCTTGAAGTGGACAAAAGACATTTGTGGAGTGTTCTCTTACTGTGTCTTTCCACAACATTTACAGCAGTCTAGCATTTGTGCCCACTTTGCATCTGTTAACCAAAAACGTTTAGCACATGACTTGTTGGTTAAATATCAAAATCGCTTACCTTTAGGAAACTTAGTTAAAGCACGTAGCACCTTGATAGACGGCTAAACGTAGAACAAAGGAGAAAGAGAATTAAATATAGAGTCAAAGCGAAAAAGAGCAAAGAGCAGAGCGACGTTTTCCGAGTACTTACTCAGTCTCGCTGTTGAAACCTGACTGAGCCCCGTGTTGAGGAGTGATCCGTGTTAAACGCTAGATTGATTTGTTTACATGTGGTCTTGTCCAATGGAATTAAGTCATCAATTCTTCATTAAATTTGTTTGTCAAGTTTATTTTCTCAGGGTAGGTCACTTCTCCATACTTGATTCCGTGTTAAACTCATCCTGAATAAACAAAAGCTTCTACAATTAATGATAACACCAGATTAGTCATTGTTTCAAACAAACAAGAAGACTCTTTATGACATGCTAACGAATAATTCAGTTTTCTATTTAGATATATAGTGATGCGTGGAACCAGAGAGTATGCATTGTCTTTGAGCCGGGGAACGGGTTTCAAGGAACGACCCGCACGCACATAACCACCAAACGTTTGTGGTTGAACCCACGTGGAAAGCATAATAAGTTTATTATATTTTGAATGTTCTTGCATAGTGTAGATGACTGGCGAGACTCTTAAGTGATTCTTTATCTATATCATCATTCTTGAATTTGTTTTAAATGAACAGCTGTGTTTTAATGGACTGTTTTTCATTCCACAATCATGACAGTTTGTGCATGGTTTTGGCACGTCACTGCCTCGTTTGGTCACGAATAAGGAAGATTTTCGTGATTAAGACGTGTTTACTGGTTGGCCTAAAATCGATGATGGGCTTAGAGTGATCCAGTTTGTTTAAGACGAACAGCTAGTATATTACCTATTTTAATCTATAATCAACACAGTTTTCAGTTTTGCACGGCCTCAGCATATCAGCTGCCTTACTCGATCATCGGCGGTGTGGGAGTTTTGCGTGGTTAATGTGTTTGTTTGTCACAAGGACAAACTGACTAGGCGCCCTTTCTTGACTAATTTGTTTAAGACGAGCAGCTGAGTTTATGAACCTATTTTTCGATCTACAATCACATCCCTTGCTAATGGGTTTTTCGTGTTAGCCACGTCATTAAGATCACGAAACTCTGAGTGATTAAAGTATTTGTTTGCCAAGCTAACGTGAATGAACTTTTCGTGTTCTTTATCCACTGTTTTGTTGTTGACATCTTTCACGAAAAGCTAACAGTTGAGTCAGTATATCAACTTTATTATATGGCTTGTGTTTGTAGACCTCACTCTCGGTTAATAAGGACTTAATATCAACTATTTTCCAGTCTACAACCATGATGTCCATTTTCTGCGGAAATATTTTGCCTATCAGCTGCATCATTTGATCAGCAGTTTGGTAAAGTGCTGTTAATGTGTTTGTTTTTCATATTAATAGAATGTACTCTAAGTGTTTATCTCCTGTTAATTTGCTTTCGATGTCATTTTGTTTAATTTCTTAACATAGCTCAGACATGAACAATAGCGGCTAATGTCTCCTTCTCTAACAGCAGGCAATATATCAGTTTTACATTTCTTCAAATATATGACACGATGCCTCAAATGGACTCGGAAACAGGGCGAAAAGTACCAAATTTAGGATTCATCGCTTTAAATTTTACAAGCTTTCAAAGTTGGTTGAAATCTCAAAAGCCCCCACCCCCTTCACATCCCTCCCTTCCTCTCTTTCTCCCGATCTGACTAAGATTAAATATGACATGTTTGGATGTTAGAGTAGTTAGCCCTGCTTTCCTAACTGAGGGAACAAAAAGCAAGATGCTAAAACTAATAACGTGTCTAATTTAATGTGTCTAATCACTGAAAAGTAGTTAAAGTGGAGGAGATAAAACGCCTTAGATACATTGTAGCATCTTAATATCTGATGTCGACAGCGTTGGGGAAAATGAGTTTGAGGAATATTTATAATAACTATTTTCTTTGAGGCGTATAGGAGATGAGATCACAAATCGGGTATTTTCCGCTCTTTGGACAAAAATTAATATCCCTTGTGTGTTATATCAATAGAGTAGAATTCTAGTTGCGTCATTTTCTCGAACGTACTCTGAGAGGAACTAACGTGAGGCTAACGATTGGTAAAAGCGTGAGCATATACGATGCGATTATCTTGAGTACGAACGTAACGCAAACGAAATTCGAGACACACGAGCGATATCGAATATAGCTCTTGAAGCTTTTAATGTGTCATTTCTTCCTTTTGAAATCCGCTGCGCCCGAAGCACAATTATTTCCTTTCACGGGGCAATAAAGATATATTTTCTACACTTGAACCAATTTTGAAGGAAAAGTAGTGCTATTTTTTCTCGCAGTTTTATTGGCTGAGGCGCAATACTCTAGACTACTTGACAATAATGTTATTTCGGCTTTATGAGTAAAAGGTGAAAAGGAATAGAATCAATGTAAATAAGTACCGAGTAAACGGCTGCACTCAAAATGCAATAATATTTATTGTTAATGGTTTTCATTAGCTGAGGAATCCTTGTTGACACCTGCAAGATTTCGAAGCTACAAAAAATTTAACAACTTGAGGTCTGTTTTTCAGCCTGAAACAAGTGATTTCTGTCAAAACATGTACAGTAGGCTTTGTTGGCAATGATTTTAGGAGAACTGTCATCGACAATACCAAAATCAAAACACCTTTTTCATTATTATCAAAGCCGGTAAGCCGGTAAATCGAGCAAAGCTTGGTTGAAGAACGCCAGAACATATTTTATTGATGATAAAATTAAGTATTCAAATGAGTGATTTGTAACACTAATTGTGGAAATGCAAAACGCCTATAGATTTATATCTTTTATCAAGCAGGTTTCGCAAACATTTTAACTCGCACAACTCAAACTGCGTACAAATACATAAAATTATGGCGCATTAGCTTTCTTCGTTATGATGTCGTCACGGGCAACCTTAGAGTTTTTCGCTTTGCTTTGTTTTCCTTGTATGGTTAACACTAATGAAAGCAATCAGTGTGCTAAAACCAAACGGGTTGAATTTGTCATGGAAGGTAAGAAAATAGAGTTAATTACATTCTTTGTCGCTAGCAGGAAGCCTCTTGTTAAGAAGTTAGTTTTGAAGTTCGAAGCGACCTATTACTTTGTACTTGACGGATCCTTAAGTCTTACAATGGTCGGGAGCGTTGAATTCCGGTTCTGTTAGAAAACTTTACAATAATATCTCAAGGTGGCTGATTGTTTTTTGCCCTTATAAGTTACCGGTGGAACTCAGATTCTCATATTGGCTTCAAATACGAACACAACTTTAAAGTTCATGATAAATACGGAATCGACTTCAAAACAGATACATGATTAAGACGTGTAGAATCTGAAGTTGGGAGGAACTCTTTCAGCTATAGAGGCCGAGTAGTCATCCGGAACTTTCTGAACGCGCTTTGTGACGCTTCTGACGCCTCAGTTACGTTAAAGAGGTACTCAAACCAAATGTCTGTTTTTTAGGAAGCTGGCATAGTTGCCACTAAACAAGGGGATTGCCATTTTACTAGAGAAAGTTTTCGTTTCTTTATCTTTAAGTCTTCGATTTGACTTATTTATGTATATTTTCGTAGCAAATATAGATTTTACAATTTTACATTTTATCCTTTTGTTTTGTATTTATTAATATTTAAAACATATGAACTAAGATTACTACAGGTCCACATTAGCCCTACTTCCACCTTTCCTATATTTGTCCTTCTGTATCAATTAAAGGATTAAAGATCTTGGAATAACTTGCAATCGTCAAATAAGTTATATGATATAAGCTAAATAACAAACCAATTGAATGATGCTAACGACACATTTGTTGCTGTCTGATCATAAAGAAGGCTCTTGTCGATAAATTTAAAATTAATACCAAAGAAACACACGAAAAGCGAAGTAAAGTTTAACACTACAGCGCTATTCTTTCTCTACATGTATAACAGACGATTAATCTTTCCTGCTGCTAGAGCTCCAGAGAACAGTACAAAAAGACCTATTTATTAGCGACAAAAAAGTCTAAAATAATTTGCTCTATTTATAGGTTTTGTTTTGTCAAATCACACAATAAAGAGCATTCATGGGTACTCGCCTACTGACTGCGCCATGGAGTGTACAGCTACCTTAAAATGCAAATCGTTCAACTTTAAAATTACTGAAAGAATGGAAAATAATTGTGAAGTGAACGATGCGACAAGATCTTCATCTTACCCTTCTGACTACAAAGAAACTACCGGACTTGTCTACTACGAGGCCAGTACAGAGGTTCGTAGTTATATTAATTTCCGGGATATTTAGCCGAAGTTGGTCAAAATCACGACGCGCGTAAGACGGTCTCGGCTACTCTTTCAGTCTTAAAGTGAAGTGGGGGAATATTTCGGCCCAGAA